TCTCCGGAAGGATGTCCATCCGTTACTGGGGACTTAGCCGACGTGCCACTGTTTGTTTTCCTTTTCCTGTCTTTTGTATTGTGGCACAATAGCTGAGGTGTTTTCCACCTGCAGCTAACGTGTATAATGAATGAATAATGGCATCCAACGGACGAGACAAATATGTGACACAGATTGTTGGCATGCCGGAACATTATAGCATTCTGTTGCATCATCGGCGTTTTGAGCACTTCCATTTGCCGAGATGGGTGGGGAAACTCTACGTCTCACTTCGGAGAAGCTTTTCACAGTTTTGTACAGTGGCCTGTTATTGGTAAACCAGGTTTCCGGAAGACAATGCTGGTTCACAAATCTGATTTCACAAACAAGTGGACTACAATAATTACGATGCAGCAAACAGTTGCTCCAGTTGTCAAGAGTAGGGTTAGCTCTGTATGCGCACCACGCGGCGTCTCTGGCCCCATGAGATTTAGAGTTCTGCTCCGAAGGAATAATGCTACTCTTGCGGAACAAAGAGACCTGGTCTCCGACACGGATGTGAGCAGATCACTGAAGTTAACAGCAAATATCGCCTACTAATATCATGAACCCGTCATGTAAATACTTCAAGCTGGATTCGCCAATAAGTTATGTTAGTGTGTTGAAATGTGCGGTCTTGCGAAACGTGTTAATGTGTTCCAGTCGATCCTCCACATAACACCTAAAATTGCAATGTAGTAGGACTTGATTATACACTCCTGGAGCATTCCCTATTGTCGGCTCATCGATTGTAGGCTCTTCGTACGTGAGCAAGAACTCAAGCACTGCTGGTTTGTTCTACGCTAAGAATCTGGGAACAACAACAACAGCAACAGTAAATCAGCCATTTGAACTGATGCTTCGCTGCCATACAACCATGAGGACCTATGAAATAAAGAATAAGAAGAGGGAGAGAAGAGGGACTTACCTGAAAACCTTAATGCCCTAAGCAAACATTCATGGTCAAGGCGCCTACGCCTTGTGTAGAGGACATACCGTCGCAAACAGCTGGCTGTCGTGCGAAAATAAGGTGGCATCGGCGAGACAGCTACCTTGCGGCTTACACTGCCGCGCGTCCTAATCAGACATTACCCCACAGATGACTCAGCACCAAACACAGTTTAAACAGGCAATCCGATTATGAGACGGCAGCAGACACGCCACTAGTGTTGGTTGCGAGCCATGTCCTGTACAGTCTCGAGCCAAGCACAAGGCGAGTCACGTGGACTCTAGCCCGGAAGGTGAGACGGACCAACGGCACCTCCTTTAATCGTCAGTGAGTTCATTTCCCGCTACCAAGTCAAATTCTGCTCACCTCGGGCTTTACGCCACCCTGCGCCTGGCAGACTAAACAAAGCCCTCCTAGGTAAGCGGTGACCTGGCACACGTAGCAAGTGCCCGAGCCAACGCAACTTCTTCAGTGCTACCTGTTGTTCTAAGGAGCTAGCATGAGTATTACTACCTAGTACTCGCCTATGCACATCATCGTTGCGGACACGCTGGTGCCATCCGACTCCAGCAATGCTTCACAGACAACGATGATCGAAGACTTGAAGGCGCCTCAGATCTTCAGAAGCAAGAGGCCAAGTCTCACTACCATAGAGCAGAACGGCCCTCAATGTGGCCTTGTATACACGGTCTTTCAGACGAAGAGAAACTCCTTTCTGTCGCCAAAGGTGCCGTAGGTTCGAGAAGGCAGCTCTGGCCTTTGCAATGCGTTAGCTGACGTCAGGTCCTATGCGCCCATCGTTGCTGATGCAGCTGCTAAGTTAAAGGATTGATCAACCACCTCGATTTCCTCGTTAGCAAGCGTCAAGGAGTCATAAAGTGCTCGGTGGTCTTGCAGCAACACTTTGCACTTGGAAGGTGCAAAGCGCATACCAAATAATGGGATCATTTTAGACAGGCTATTCAGGGTTGGTAGTGCCACCGCAATATCGTCGAAAAGCAAGACGATATCGTCCGCATAATCTAGATCAACTAAAATTTCACCTGGCAGCACTCTAACGCCTACATCAGGCGATTCTGCAAGGGAGCATTCCAAGCTAGAATCCACGACGAAATTGAACAAAAACGGGGAAATCGGACAATTCTGACGAACGTCACTTGTGATCGGAAAGCTGTCCGATAGGCCACCGTAGACCCTGATGCGGCCTGTAGTGTTCGAGTACAGAGCACGTAGAATGTTCACATATTTCATGGGAAGACGTTTCCGCACAAGTATTTCGAACAGAATAGATCGATCGATTGAATCGAACACATTCTTGAAATCAAGGAACACAGCTATTGTCGGTCTACGGTATGCGTGGCGCTGCACTAGCACCTGCGACAAAGTGAATATATGGTTTATACAGCCATATGGAGAGAGGGCGAATGGACATGGCTGAAAAGCGGAATACTTACAAAAAGCTCTTGCATGTCGACGTTAAACTTCTCTCTGGAGGATGCAAGAACTTTCAGATGGTAAACATTGAATTCGCGTAATATGGAAACATGTGTGTGGTGGCCGCAGTACCTTCTCAAAGATCGAGGAACGTTAAGCCGCTGCCACAAGGCAGATGTCATTGCGTCTCGGTGGCAGAAGGCATCGGAGTGCGTCTATGATAATTATATCCTGATGTACCACGGTTGGCACTGCAACTCACTGTATCTCGAATTTGATTTCGGTATCTTTTATGTTTACCAAATATGTAGCTGAGAAATTCAGGTCCAGAACACACCATGCCTAACGAAGACACGCAGCTCAGAAGACAAGTTGCTAATGCATTGTGCATCGACCTAGACATGTAAAAGATTCTCGGATCGCAGTACTGAGTCCGGCGGAAGTGCTTTTTATGCAGACGTTGCTCCGACCGGTGAAAGACCGACTACTAAAAGATTTTGGGGTCGGGCAGTTACGAAATGATTTGTGCCTGACCCAGCGATTTCGGCTTCTTTTCCTTGTTCATCTCTGTGTAACGTATAAGGTGTGATAACAGCTCTCTTGACGAGCTGTATGATCTTTGCAAAGCCTTTGCCAGGAAGTGGTTTGATTGAATCTCTTTTTTGTATGTTTGTCTATTGGACGCCGATTTTATCCGGAGCTCAGAAGGTAGGCTACAGCGCTCCGAATACCAGCACTTCAGTATTCTTGCTGTTTTTAGGCACCACCTACAAAATACAAGGGCCACATCCTTTTTACCTTTTACGATCTACGTAACGTCCTGGTACTGAGTAGGCTATGTCGGTTTTCAATCACAAGTTGTCGCGAACTTGACGCCATTGCTACTGATTTTCGATGGTAGCCACTGGGACACCGTGATCCTGGCTATAGACGCCTTCCGGTATTCTTCCATGTTGTGCTTCACATGTGTACGTTGGCTCCACGTAATATAAAGGGAATGGTGTACTGCTCAGGACTCCTTCCAGTGATGAGCTACCGATAATAAACCGGTTCCCGTTTCATGTTTGGAAGTCAGCACAACTCGGAGCATCATCCGTTTACGGTAGTTCTTTGATCCTGAGTGACGGATAAGCTTCAACTGGTTGGAAGGCTTAGCTACATCTAAGATGTTATCCATAAAGTTCCACTGTCTCCAATCAATGAGTTGCTTTTAGTTTAGAGATTTAATTGTCGATTCAGAAACCTGTATGCACTTTACTGAGTGTACACTATGCTGTCCCCTAGTGATCTTTTGCGCAGCTTGAATTGAAAGTAGTTGATACCAAAATTTCTAGTAGGTAAATCTCTATATATGAGCTCATCCCGTTTTCGTTTCACTTCCAAGTATCGTTTAAGAAGGAAAATAATGCTGTTAACTACGCACTTAACTAACTTGACCTATTACAACGATGATGCTGATAAAGCGAACGGAATTAGTGTCGCACGTATCGAGCAGGTTGAGTCGATTAACGGAAATCATCTACCAAGCGAGATAGGTAAAACCATTCCATATTTGTTACTGTATATTCAGCAAAATCATGAGTAACAATCGGTTGTCACCAAAGATTTCTGAACTCATTACCTAGCGATCAATACGAAGTAAATTCCTCGGTTTTGAATAGGTATAGTCGTTTTACTTTCCTCGGGTTTTCTAAGTGACACTGCAATTTTAATTAAGCAACACGTGGCTACAGTTTAATGCAAATGAAATGACAATGTTTAGTACGCATGAGTTTGGCATCCAAAGTCCACGTTCTATCACTTGTATTGATCTTGATAGTCAAATAGGCCAGCCCAGATTGATTCTTGTACTACAACATCATAATTGCCGTCTCTGAATCAATGGTTGCTTGGCCAATGACTTATTTTTTTATAGATGCATTAGACAAGTTAAACGGAAACATTTATTGTAGATTATATATTTCCTTGAGTATCGCCAACCGGTGTAGAAAAACGTTTTCGGTTCCGGCTCACTTTTCTTCTATGTTGACTGGTCAAACAGCGTTCGATGAACCTGAACTGTGTTGTGACTTCAACAAAGATATTGGTTCCATTCTTCGCAAATTCTATTCATGCCCAGTTTCTTAAGGTGTAAACAAATAATTCTGCTTGGATGTTTATGGTTGCTAAAACGCAGTTTCCTTTAATACCACCGATACATGCAGCCAGTAAGGAATATGGAACCATGTTCTAATTATATCACAGTTTTTTTCTTTTAATAATTTTCACTAGTGCGTTACCTCGAAATGAACACTGCAAAGTAGTGCAAAACTGATTGGAGATGCCATTTGAAGCACTCATTTTATGTGAGTGGATTGCAACGTTCAGGGTCAATCCAGGCCCCGGTATGTTTGAAGTGGGCAAGGTCAATTGGATCTCTGGAGTCGCATCAGAAGCAGATTAAATTCACTGGCGGGCAACACCTAATTTTTGTCTATACTTACTACTTACTGTGTTGTTCATTTATATAGTCGAGGTAGTAGCTGAGAAACAAAAATCTCGTAAACTCTCCCACAGTCGTGTATATGGAGTAATAATTAAATTGTTTGCCTTCACTCACCGATTCACAATCTGTCCGGTCCACGGTGGAGTCCTCTAGAAAACGAAAAATACGTTGCTACAAGCAATTGGATAAAGAATAGAAGTTTTATCTTCTTTACCGTCACTGTGAAAGGTCTGGGAGACCCCCAAAACAGCATGTCAAATGACTGTATAATCACAGAGCATTACTTGCAAATAGCAGACTAGCCTTAGCATTTAAACCTATCACAAATAGCATACATCTATAGGTAAACACTGAGGAAGTCTCCGCGCAATTACTTGCAGTTAATACCAAGTTAACAGCGTGATAAGCAACTGAAACTCTTGCTGAAATAATTTATCAACCATGATATTTAAATTTCGGAGCGTAGAACTGCAGCCGCTTTGAGAGAAACTTTTTTCGCAATTATCTACTCAGTGTTTTAACAGGTTGTAATTCTCCCATTTGTTTTTAATGTCCTAACTTATTCTGGCCAGAATTAGTTTGGCCATTTGTACTGGACAATTCTCGCACTGATACTGACCCTCGCCTACGTACACTAACGAGGCGAATGCTGTCAAGTGTTCCACCGGCCTGTTGTAGGCTGTTTCCACTACACTATTTCCAAGGGTATTCTCCCACCTCAACCCAGAATACAGCGTGGATTACCCCAATACCGGTCCAAGCTTCATGGCACATAAATGGACGACCATCAATTGTGTATTCGAGGTGAAATTTTAACACTAATTGTTAGTTTTCACGAGGTAATCTTGTCATTCCTAGATGGTCACTGAAAGTAGAAATTTGCGCCGTTACGTTAATTATATTAGTTAATGTATATTACACATAGGAAACACAAATAGGGTAGTTATTAGTCTAAGGGACGAGCACAGAGTTGTACGGTACACTTTGTCCTTAAGAACAATTGCAGCGCGTACAAACCAGAGTGTGATTATAGTCATGTGAAGGGTACGTTGATCAAATGAATCCAATCAGTGTGTAGATGAACAGACGTCAAGGTGTGTGTGCATGACTGATGCGCTTCGTATATTCGGTACTCAATTTTCGACAGGCAACCTAAGAGTTTTTCCATCGCTATAAACCTGAAGTTCCGGTGCAAAAATTCGCTGACGTAAAACCACAAGGTTATAAAAATATGATCAGGTGGTTCGTTTGTACAACTGTTGATTTTTGGAAAAGAAATGTGCAAGAGTTCTTGGTAAATCGGCAATACAGAAGTGAGTGCATACCGACGAATAATTGGCGCACCTCATCCTACGATCCAGTGCATAAGGTATTAGAACGCTAAAACAAATACGTTATATTACATTTCTTCACCTATCTGTATGATGCACAGCATGCATTCACGAAATTCTATTCACTATCCCATACCCCTTTCTCACCGTTATTCGCTTCCATGCCTATTATATTTTCTACAAATTATTAATATTATATTTTGTACTCATCCACAAGCGTACTATAGACAAACTTCCAAAATTTGTTCTGATCATACACATTAAAAAGATGATACATAAAACTTATAACCTGAGGTACAGACCCCAAGCAAAAGCAGTGATTGAAGAGTTGTTCAATAAATTAGTACATAACAGCGCAAGTCACTTTCGCTGAAAGTAAACGATGTTATAATGAGCGGGTGTGAAACTCAGACTAAACAAATTAATTCGTTAATTAGCCCACATTCTTGCCTACACCTATGACTGTTTTATGCTCTGTAGTTTTACCGCTGAGTGACACCTCAATAACAGCTGTATCGCAGAACCAAAGCTGTCAGATAGAAACTTCGGCGAACATTCTTTGATAAGTCTAGAATCGATTGCAGTGTCTGCGTTCGGTAGCCAGAAAACCCATGGAAAACTAGAATGTTATATACAGCTTTACTTCCACCCGGCCATCCATTTTACAGTCACCTAACTAGACCTCAAATGCACGCAACGAATTGAAATACCTATATATCGGGTTTATTTGTTGAGTCACCTAGTTTTAATCGCTTCGCCGTCATTTTAGTCAACCTATTGGCTGCCTGCTATTCTATTTACTAGTACGTAATGAACCTCAGGTAAAACTTTAGGTCGCTGCAATCTATATGAATGATCTTGGTCCACATTTGCGGCGCTGAAATCCAGACCTCGTCCATATTTGATACTTAGTTTGCGTTGGAGAGCCCTTTGCAATTCCTCTGGTGTGACTGCAGCTATGCCTACACAATGCTGTTCCCTTCCTTATTCCGTAAACGCTTGGTATTAATAATAATGTGTCGGCTGAACGCCACAAAGGCGCTCCGCTGCTGTGCGACAACCAGCTGTCGTACGCGGGATGAGTATACCGCGAGGACGCACACCCCTACGCAGATTCGAACATGCGCCGCAAGATTACGAGACAAGCTCGTTACCACTAGACTAGAGGCGGACTAAACGGTTTGTCTAGACGCACTCAGACATCCGTTATACGCCCGGAAAAGCAATGTACGCGCGCTTAATTCCTTCGGGAATCGTCAGTAGTGCGCATTTCATCGGATCCTGATAGGGGTCGAACCCGCAACTGGACTGTTGCCAGTCCGTGTTTGAGAACACTGAGTTACGGGGGACGTCAACGACCATCATGAATAAGTTACTAGGTGTGATATAGCGCCGCTCACTATCCACTGACTTACATATTACCGCCGTGCCGAGGACAGGGTAGCCCACTCACCAAGCGAGTTGCGAATTCGAGCCTTATCATGGTCCGAGGGAATGAGCCCTGTTGACGATTCCCGAAAGAATGAAACGCGCGTGCAGTGCTTTTCCGGGCGTGTGACGGTTGTCTGAGTGAGTCTAGACGTGACGAATTTCTACTTATGCCATTCAACTTCCCCTACTATTCCTATGTAAACTGTTCGTATTGGCATTCCATCCGCTGTTACGGATGAGAAAGATAGAGACGGAACAGTTAAAATGGTAAAGTCATGGAATAGATTTAAGCTTGGAGAAATATTCATTCTCTTTTTGTTCCAGAGCCTCAGTACTTCCTTTAAGAGCTAGCCAATATGATATATTTTTTAAATGGAGAAAGCAAACTATTTTCGGATTTTCTTGTCCATACTACTTAATTCACAGTTTTGTCGTCTTGACTTGCGCAAGCATCTCTTCAGAGAGAACTAGGTTAGTCGCCAAGTCCGGACCAGTTAGCACTTGCTAAACAAACGTTCCCTAACTTTTTCAACATATTACTTCTATCACTACACCTTCGTTCCTTGCTTGCACACCCACATCCGCTGTGCATTTGCGATGGCGTGCTTATACAGTCCATATGAGTAATTAACTCGATCGCTGGCATCAGACGAACAGGTGACCTTTGTAATATTAGTCGAAACCTATACAATTAGACCAAGTTGGAGCGGTCTACGCTTGTCACACCGGTAGTCTATTGATGCAGATTTTGGCTGACACCCAAAGGACCCAAGGTTTAAGCGCAGTTCAGCCTCCACTGCCTGCTGACGTCGAACGAGTCCGTAAGAAGTCGTAGAATGCCTTGTTTTCGGGCGGTCACTACCAAGATCTAGCTGCCTCCTCAGTTACGGTCCCAATGATCAAATTGATCTAGGTTCACTTCATTGCGAATCGCAGTCCACATTGCGTGCCGCAGTCCAATAAGCTAAGCTGTTCTTTGGTTTCATCTGCAACGCCCGTTACATTCGTTGTTCTGGTTCCACCCAAGGCAGTAAGTCATTGGGTTACCGTGGCATTCACGTGACTTATCTGATGTGGATTACAATGCAAGATATCCGGTGAGCTCGAAGACGATTTTTCTTCAAATGCTTTGTGATATACCCTGGTATTCCATGAATGTCTGATTGGCACCATGGAGTTGACTGTGTGCCTAGTATTTTTGATACAAAATTATTTTTATGCTGGTTAGAAACAGCCGTTTCAGCGACGCATGTGATATTCTATCTAAAAGTATTCTAGTCCTCCACCTGCTGACTTCTGAATGGACTCATGAGTTTGACGCATTGCTGAAACTTCGGAGACAAATTGGGGTTTACACAGTGGCCATCATTTCCGTAATTACCAGTGATAGCGCGAAGCCGCCTTGGGGTAAATAGTCTATCAAACACTAAACCCCACAATCACCTAGTAAAATTAAAATTACCATAGATAAGAGATCAGTAAATACAAAATCTTTGCTCGGGATACGAAAAATTGCCCGTTGATAGCGGGTAGTAAGCATCGGGAGTGAAAGTGTCGGGTTATCTTCTAAACTGGGTGGTTTATTTGCCGTTATTTCGTGAGAGGAATTGCACAGCTGATGGTAACTTGTAGGGTTAAAAGGCAACATTTTAAATATCAAACTTGATGGTCGGTATAACAAACCCATTCACGTCCCGATCTATTAGAGGCACTAGTTTTGGACACATGTCCGGTCATTATGACTTACCAGACTTTTGTAGAAACGCCAGTTTGTGCATGTCAAGTGAAGGTGATGGGAGTGGATTACCGTGACTGGGCCAAAACAACGGATATACGTTTTCAGCTGAAGCTCGGTTAGGCAATCCAGAAGAATAGGAGAAAGAATGTACTTGCTCAGGCTGGTTTGTTGTTGTACATCCACGAAGCGATGTGTTGACCTCAGCACGAGGGACCAGTCGAGCATAATCTCCTACACTTGCTGATTTCAATAACCTTGCTGCTGGAGTCCCCGGAGTGTAGTACTGTTGTCCCGTGTTTTGACGTGGAGGTTTTGAGGTGGGGCTAATCGGATCTCTATTGTAGAGAAAACAAAGCGTGGTGAGGAATTTAGGCCTTTCAATTCGAACCACACAGTCAGTACTTAAAACGAAGTTAGACGCAATATTCTTCACGATTCATTAATGATATTGTAATATTTACTACAGGATGTGAAGGTCAAGTCATTCCATTCGGAAGACCTGAGTAACCATAAGTAACAGGTAACGGGCAAATCGAGATCAAGTTGACTTATTTGATCTGCAACTGTCGTAAAAATGCAGGAAGCTTAAAGCACCTTCGTATTTGATGTGACCGATGTTGTCAGGCCAGTGACAACCAGGATGACAATACGACTATGGATATCGATTGTTAGCATTTCTCTTGATCACTAAATCAGAAGGTCCAGACAGTTCGACTTTCTCAATGGCTGGAAAATTCCTTTGGTTCTGGTGCGGTATAGAAAGTATGGGAGTTCCCGCGTCCGCTTCTCAGGCACATCATTTACAGTCAGTGAATGCCAAGTTGCGCCGAAACTGTTGATAAACTGTAATGCCGGGAAAGAAAACCATGAAGCTGTCCCCATTTTTTGTTGTTGTTCCCGTGATATGAACATCGGAAATGATGGCAGATCCCATTGTGATCCCTACCACATTTGCACTTCATTAGCCATTCAAGAAATTGAGGTTTAGCTTAAACTAACTTTCCATGGAACCTTGTCACATCCATATTTAGTTACCCGTCACCTGTGCGTCCGGAAAATCTTCGGTCGGTTCTCTCATCCTTCCGGAAAGCGTCCGTAGTGCCCATTCCAACTAATCTCCCGGGGGTCTAGAACTCAAGTCCTACACTTACGGCGTCCTTCGATTAGATCAATTTGTCATAGCAGATGTGATGCGACCGACATTACTTAGTAGCTGGCTGTAAATTAGCACACATACTCATTCCGTCATGTCAATGCGCGTGGGACATGGTTGGCCACATGAGTCTTGACTTCCCAAAACTGAGCTGTCATGGTTCGTTAGCAGTGGAGGCTTGCTTGTGCGATTCATGTTGAATGATCCAATAACTTTTTGCAGTTCGGTGACGAACGATTGTAAAAAGAGTCATTAATTCGATGTACCTATCCAGAGGTTTCACAGACCAACTGGGCTCTTTCGCAGGATTTACACCAGAGCTATATGGTTTAATCAGACGAGTTGCCGGTAAACACTTTAGCTACTACAGGCCTTGTTCTTGTTGCTAAATTGAACAGTTGAGAATGTTGCGAGTCATTTTGAATTACACGTTGTGAGGATGGATTGCGACGCACAATCTCACTGTTGACGGCGATTCAGCGTAAAGTGAAGCTTGGTCTATCGATCACGAGGACTGTAGCTTATACAAATAGAAATTGGGTGTTGCCCGCAGTAGTGTTGAGAATGTACACGGAAACGCACTGGTCACTTGCCACATAAGACACTGCATGCTACAATTGACTGTTTTTCTCCACGGTGATTGCGGAAGATAATTTAGTCTGTTCCCCACGCTAAAAATATCCGAATTTTATAGCTTCCTAAGTGCAGATACAAGTTACATTGATAACATGTATTAAGCGTCACTCGTGATGGTTGCCTACTTCTTATCTCATGCAAGCTTCTCACGCTGTTTTATCAATAGTAATTTTATACAATAACATGAATGCTTGTTAAACGCATGATATTATACATTTCCTAAAGAACCGCAGGCGAGAGCGTCTAAGGGCATAGAAAAGAGAAATAAAGTACTAGATCATTATACTGCACCATTGAGTTTTGGCAGTTTCATACGCTTCAAGGTAACTGGTTGCCTTACGTACAGTTTTATTCAGGATGATAACGTTTCACATTGGTGTGAGTCTCACAGCTACGTAAAAGCAACTTGTCTTTCACCTGACACAATAGAAGTTTGCTTTTCGCCTATGAATTTTAGTCACAGAAGTGATATCTTCTTCTATGGCTTGCTGTTGGATTTACTATGTTACCTACCCTCTTAAAGCAGATCCAAACTGTCGTGCTATCCAGATGCAGCGGATTGTCTATAAAGTCCTTCGTGCATGCTATTGTTAAGAAGCACCTAAAAGCTTATGCTATTTTTTCCTTCAGAATTCTAAGAAACCCACTTGAGCCAATACATGTTGACTTATCAAAAACGCCATCCGTTTCCTCTACCCTCTCCAAATTCAAGGTTCTATTTTCTCGTACTGCATCTTACCGCAATTCTTTTCTACTCTACATATCCAGCTTGAACATTGACCCAACCAGATGTATAGGTAAAAGGCAAGATTAGTTGTTCGAGTGACTTGTGTGGACATTTTAGACTATTTATTTTTTATTTTAACCGTAATTTTCTATACTTCACCACCCGCAGTGATAGTGTAACATGCTGACAATGCACGTACCCGGATGCACAAAGTCGGATACCGTCCTCCATGGCGCAGTTGCATAGGCTGCGGGCTAGTTGGCAAGAGCCACTAGCAGTCATGGGTTCGATCCTCCGCAGAGGACCGAAGGATGCGCACCACTGATGTGCCCCAATAGGGTGAAACGGCCGTCTGGTGCTTTTCCGGATAGCTGGTCGACATTTCTGAATCGTCGGCTGATTGCGACGAACAAAAATACTCACCAAAATCCTTCCATTCATAAGTAATACCAATTCGCCCTTACGGATTCCACAAAATGCCATGTCGATTCATAGCTGCTGTAACCGGGAAGTCCTGACGCCGAAAGGCCGACCGCTGTCATCTGCATGGCAGGTGCCTGCATGGCAGTAGAGGATGCGTCGGGCTATATCGCATTTAGCTAACAATTCACGATAGTCAGATACCGTCCTCTATGGCGCAGTTGCATAAGCTGCGGGCTGGTTGGCAAGAGCCACTAGCAGTCATGGGTTCGATCCTCCGCAGAGGACCGAAGGATGCGCACTATTGATGAGCCCCAGTAGGGCGAAACGGCCATCTGGTGCTTTTCCGGATAGCTGGTCGATATTTCTGAATCGTCGGCTGCTTGCGACGAACTAAAATAGTTTGACTTGGCTTGCCTTAACATTATGGCCACTGGCAGGCAAACCATAGCTGCAAATTGGGAAACTTTTGCTCAGTGGGAGTTTAGACAGGATGAAACCTCAATTTCGTAGCAGTACTCAGTAGCTATTGGTCACAGAGGATTGTTGTCACATGCACCGTGAAAGATGGCTTCCGAAAATTCAAAGTAACTGTTCCATGAAATTAACGCCGGTAAATCAAATTCTTCAATGTACTGCTCAAAAGTAACTTTTAACTTACGGTCCCCATACTCAATGAACGCATGTCACAAGAGATAATGACTTGTTATTTATAATGCATACCAAAGACCACCCGTAATTTAGGTAAAATTCCTCGGTAGGCATGTGCGTCGGAACTGTAGATCAGAGTTATTACTTAGAAATTATTGTTCTAAACAAAAATGGCACACACAGCATTTGGTGATTGAGTACAGCCGTGGCTGTTCTAAAGACGTCGCACTACCAGTGCTAACAAGTTAGAGACAATAAAATACGACCCAATAGGGTCTCTTTAAAGCCGACTACCTCAAAGTATCTGGGAATTTTTAAACCCAGTGAAACCTTCTAATTTACCCACTCATGCGTTAGAATGCCTAGTTGCCTAACGTTTATCAAGATGCACGAAGCTGAATGACATTGCTGACAATTTATGAGGAGTTCACCATTCGTTAACCTTTCATCATGCCACGCATCTTCATCTTTCGATAATTTGCACTGACTGAATTTCGAGTAACCGATAATTATCCAAACGAACTAACTGACATGCATGTTAATTTATATGTCTATATTTTTGTTTATATATCATTTCCGTCCTTTAACCATTACCTAAGCCTAAGTATTCTGTCCTTCTTTTACTGCGTTGCTTTTACTGAGCCCCCACTACTGCCGCTGTTCGAACTTAACTGGATTTATGTACGTCCGTTTGCAAGTCTATTCACCTATTCGCAAGTCACCTATGTCTCTTGGAATTTAGATGCTTGTAAAATCACGGTGCATTCAGTACAACGTATTCCGTCTACCGTCCTCGTAATTTACTGCCCAGACTGTGCATACCTTTGGTGATTAGACTTGTCAATCGGCCGTACAGCTGGAAGCTACAAAGTGGAATAACTTGACTCGCATTTTATTAGATACCATAGACCAAAATCTTATAACGGAGAAACCACAAAATGTTTGTAACTCGAAAGCAGAAGCCTCTTGGGGGTAGCTGGCTGCAGCTTTGCTTAAGATTAGCAAACCAGAACAAAGGTTGCATGATTTTGAGCTAAAGGAAGAGCGAGTAGCGTCTAGTGGATCCGTTACGTCGGATAATAACACACAATTTCATCGCAGTGACATTGATGGCGATTTATATTTTAGACCACCAGTTGACAGAAGCTTTGTGACGCCGTGCGACGTTGGCGAGTTTGTTAACTCGTCTAGTTGTTCGGTGTGGGTCGGGTTTTCGCCGGTTCGAATCCCTCCGGGTTCGTTTGACAGCCCACTCGGAAGTCATGACCGACACAAGAGCGGGGCTGTGGAAAGTTTGTCAGGATTGCTAAAGCGAGCTATATTTTGCTTTAACGGGGATCCCATGCGTTTTTAGTTCTTTTCACCGTTTCCAATAGAGGGTGATGACTGCTACAGAGAATCCGTACTACTCGGCAACTCCACTTTCTGACTTGCTGTACTTTCGAGTCTTTTAGGTGAAATGAACATGAAAAAAGTGTTCGAATAGACACTTTCGACGAAATTTGACTGTTAAATTTTTCTCTCGGAAGATATGACACCCAAGTGCCTGGACTGTGCGAAGCGTGTCACATCACGTTTAAAGGCCGCCCATTCGCACTCTGTAACATAAAGGATGTACATAGTTTGCTGTTACCTTGATAATGATTTTTACCGATGTCTTCAACGCACTATATCAGAATACGTCAACTTTTACTGCTACTTGTGTCTAACACTGGTCACTGACAGCAACTTCTGAGGAACCCTCTCAA